GGTTTCTCCATGTTGGTCAGGCTGGTCTTAAACTCCCAACCTCAGGTGATCCACCTGCCTCGGCCTCCCAAAGTGCTGGGATTACAGGCGTGAGCCACCACACCTGGCCTAAAAAAACTTATTCATATCAAATCTCTTGGGTCAATCATAAAGGGACAATCTCTGAAGTAAAGGAACTGTGGTAACTTGAGGGGCTCAATAACTCTGTGATTCCTAGATCACATAGGCTTCAGGCATTCAAGGCCTACTAAAGACTTTACATATACTAAGAGAAATACTTAGTAAAAGTTCACCAATGGGAAAAAAAAACCCCAAACACTGGCAGTGGGGAGCTGATAACTGAATGAAGGAATTAGATGTTCTGACTAAAATACACAGTGCTGAAACTTTTAAAATGGCCCAATTTGGCATCTGTTACACTAACACAGCTAGTGAATTTCTGTTTTTTTTTTTTTTTTTCACTCAGAGTCTCACTCTGTAGCCCAGGCTAGAGGGCAGTGGTATACTCTTGGCTCACTGCAACCTCCACCCATGAGGTTCATGTGATTCTCCTGCCTCAGCCTCCCAAGTAGCTGGGATTACAGGCGCCTGCCACCGTGCCCGGCTAGTTTTTGTATTTTTAGTAGAGACAGGGTTTCAACATCTTGGCCAGGCTGGTCTTGAACTCCTGACCTCATGATCTGCCCGCCTTGGCCTCCCAAAGTGCTGGGATTACAGGTGTGAGCCACCGTGCCCGGCCGTGAATTTCTTTTGAATTTGAAAAAGATTTTCTGACTTCAGAAATAAATTTGGAAATAAAAATGTTCTAAGAAGTCATGCCTCTCCCGAGATGAGATATAATGAATGCCCTAGCAGCTCTAATAAAACTCACAGTCAGTTTTAATCACCAAAGCAAAGCAAGTTTCAGATGGCTTATACGGTTTTTATAAATTTTCATATCAATTCCTTCTTTGCATTTAACTAGCTAAAAAAAGTGAAGTCTCGGTTTTATCAGATTGTTCTTGATGAGAAAAATCCATATAAAGAAATGATTGCTTCTTCAGAAGCTCACTTCGGCCTCCCTCAAGTCCTTGAAGCAGACTCCCAACCCTAAACGTCTAAATTGCTTGCAGGCATATCTTGACATTATATATATAAAAAATATTATTGGCCAAATCAGTTTTCAAGTTAAGGATAGAGCATTGTGAAACCAGAATAATAATAACTGGGTTTTATAATTCCTAAAAGGATAAGATTACTGTCCTAAAGATAAACTTATGTCTACTCTTTACCAATGATCTTTCTCAAAATCACGTGACAGGGGACCCCTGTACAGTTCAGACTGTGTATGATATGAAAGAACAGACTTTTCTCTGAGCATCAGCCTTCATTTGTTATATAGGCCTTCTCTTTGAACCAGAAACATTCAAAGAAAATACAAAAAGAGACATCTAACACCTTGAGCTCAAACATTAAATAAGAGACAAAGTAAAATCTACTAAAGATCCCAGGCTGGACAAAATAGTAAAGCATTTTGTTGCTTTTAGATTAAGTCCCTAGTCAGTGTTGGAAAAGTCTATGAGGTCAGAGCTTTAATGTGGACAATGACTCTTGAAGGGACACTTGACCATGTAAATGCCTCCTAGTGAGCCCAGGAAAAAGATTTCTGAAGACTTGCATTAAAAGTATGGAGAACTTCCAAGAATATTGATAAAAGTATGCAAGATTTAGGGAGCATAGTTATATATCACAGTGCTGGAAAGGAAAAGAAAATAAAAATGAAGACAAGGGCAACACATACCGTCTCAGCCATGGAATACTCAGAATTAAGTTTCTTTGCTAGGCCATAATCTCCAAGTTTTATCAGGTTTGCCTTGGTCAGAAAAATATTTAATGTCTTTATATCTCTGAAAAAAAAGATGCTGCATATTAAGTTCATACAGATAATTGTTTTATTTCATCCCCCATTTTGCCCAGGATTATTACAGAATAAAAATGAGTGTGGGGCGGGTGTAGCGACTCACACCTGTAATCCCAACACTTTGGGAGGGCAAGGCAGCAGGATTGCTCGAGGCCAGGAGTTCTAGACCAGCCTGGGCAACATAATGAGACCCCATTTCTACAAAAAAGAAATTAGTCAGGATTGGTGGCATACGCCTGTAGTCCTAGCTTCTTGGGAGGCTAAAGCACCCAAGAATCAGTTGAGCCCAGGACACTGAGGCTGCAGTGAGTTATGATTGCACTACTACACTCCAACCTGGGCAAAGGGTGAGACCCTGTCTCAAAAATTAAACAAAACAAAAGAGTTTTACCATTGCTCATATTCTGTACTAAACATTCCACAGTGGTCATCACTTTCACATGCTGTTTAACAATGAAGGGAGAACTTAAAAAAGTGAAGGCAGAGAATTAATTTCATCCTCTAGGACTTCACAGCATAGAAATACTACTGAAGCTACTAGAAAAAGTTGAGAGGGTCAGATGAGGAAAATGGTGCTCTAGGTAACCATAATTCCCTTAAGATACCCCCCTCTTCAACTATTACTTATGCCTTGAATTAAGTGATATCAAGACAACTTTAACAAACTTGGTTGGTGTCAAAGTTTTGAATAATCTTTTAAGGCAAGAGAAGAGGCTACATGTCCCTGTAACAATATGCTTAGGCCATTTAGTCATCTAAATAAAATCACAAGCTATTTTTCTAAGGATGAATGGACCATATGTAAAACAAAATGAACTGTGCCTGGTTCACTAGGTCTTCCTTTATTGAAAGATGCGAATAAGTCAGAACAATATACTTTGTTACTTTTAAAAAGAAAATAACAACATGCAGCAGAAGCCACTGAATAGTTATCAAGAAATATACATTAATTGAATGAACAAACCAATGAAAAAAGAAATCTTAGTGTATTATAATTAATCTCTGGTACTAGTCAATGACTCACTTAAGAAGGTTATAATGTGAAAATGTTATTGAGACGGTTCTCTTCATTACCTAGAAATGAATGGAAACTTGTTTTTTTCCCCCAAAGAGCTAGTAAATTTGTGCAATTAATTGTACAAAGTGAAGAGACTTTTATTTAAATTAAAAGAGCTTAATTATAAACTCAAAAACAATTGGCAATTATTACTGCTGTGAATTCTTACCAAACACTCCTTATGAGGCCTTCGAAGCTTTACTGATAAATTAACAAACTGAACTCTAAAATTTTTGTCTGTTAAAGAAATGACAGCCAGGTGCAGTGGCTCACGCCTGTAATCCTAGCACTTTGGGAGGCTGAGGTAGGCAGATCACTAGGTCAGGAGTTCGAGACCAGCCTGACCAACATGGTGAAACCCCATCTCTACTAAAAATATAAAAATTAGCCAGGTATGGTGGCATGTGCCTGTAATCCCAGCTACTCAAGAGGCTGAGGCAGGAGAATCACTTGAACCAGGGAGGCGGAGGTTGCAGTGAGCCAAGATCGTGCCATTGCACTCTAGCCTGGCGACAGAGCCGTCCCAAAAGGAAAAAAAAAAAGAAATGACTAGGAAGTACTTAGCTACTGAGGAGATTCTTCCTAGATCATAAACATTAACCTCAGGAAGTGAAAATAACATTCCTCATTACTTTCCTTTCCTAATGATATCAGTGGAAAAACTCTTGGCTGCTTAATCAAAAAATAAAAGTATTGATGGGGAGTATCCAGGGTAGGTGCTGAATTGGTAGGAAAGAATCCATCCATAAATTTTTTCACTTCTTACCTATGAAGGATTCCAGCTTTATGGATACAGCTCACTGCTGAAACAATCTGGAATAGGTACCAAAGCTCCATTTAAGTAAACACAAACACATATACAAACAAACAAAACAAAAGAAAGCTGCAACCAGAAGTTATGATTCAACATGACTTGACACCTCTTCCTTGCAGATTGAGTAGGCAAAGAAAAGTGAAGGGGTAAAAAAAACCACAAAAAACAGGTTCCTCATAAAACAGTTCCAATGTCATTATAAAATATAGTATGGTAAAGGAGATATGTGGAAAAACTCAGGAAGAATGCAAAGTTATTAAAAACTGGGCATACCAGTATGCAGTAATAGAACCAGGAAAGAAAGCCCACAGAGAATCATGATGTGGAGGTAAAACGTTTAGGAAGCAGCTATAGACAGCTTCCTTGTTAGAAGTTTCCTTTCTCATGAATATCAGAGCCTGGAAGGAGTCTGAACAGAAGGAAAAAAACACTCTTCATTATTGGAAGAGTAAATACAGAACTAGAATGCAAGAATTACAACACTACAATTCTAACTTCCTTCCATAAAAATATGAATTACCTCTTCCTCAAACAACTTGTCCTTCTGACGAAGGATTTTGTCATACAGGTTCCCTCCTGCAATTAAACAAGACACAGGTTTGAATTGCTTAATACAGATCAAAGCTTGGCTCCTGTAACAGGGTTTTAACAGATGACACAAAAGAAATGAAGGATTGTGTTTCTCTCCATAGGCAACTACTTCTTTGGCTTTTCACACCGGCACAAAATTCTTCCCATGTCTCAAGGACTGCATCAGAAATATTCTTCAAAGACTTTCCTCTCTAACACAAGAGGTTCAATACAAAAAAAAAAGAAATTTTTAGAAAAGATAAGAGTAAAGACCATTCCTGTTATTCCCAACAAGCGAAGTATATTCAAAATCAGATGATTTCTTTTCTAGAACTCCCCTTTAAGGACTCTGCAGTATTTTTGTAACAACTCTCCCAGTTGTGACTACTATAACATTTGGACTAGGCTGGGTGCAGTGGCTCATGCCTATTATCACAGCACTTTAGGAGGCTGAGGTGAACAAATTGTTTGGGCTAAGGAGTTCAAGACCAGCCTGGGCAACATGGCAAAATCCTGTCTCTACCAAAAATGCAAAAAATTAGCTGGGTGTTGGAGCACACGCCTGTGGTCCCAGCTACTCAGGAAGCCTGGGAGGCGGAGGTTGCAGTGAGCCAAGATTGTACCACTGCACTCCAGGCTGTGTGACAGTGAGACTCCATCTCAGGGAAAAAAAGAAAAAAATTGGATTACACCTGTGATGCAATGTTTTGTATTTATAGGATGTATACTGACATATTTTCTACTTCACACTGAAAAATTTCCCAAAATTTTGGGTCTATCCCTAGACTGTTTCCAATCATTACTCTCTTTACTAATTCCTTTCTGTGGAATAAGTGTGAATGTACTTCTCTCTTTCCTTTATCAAGTAATTCAGACTGCAAGTAATCATGGTTCATCTTACATCCCACCTGCAACTATAACTTACACTTTAGCTCTGTGTAAGTTTTTACAACTGATTTTTCCCTGCAACTTAATAATTCAACAAATGTATCATTTGTTCCAGTTCTTCCTAATCACAAAAGAAGTTAACTACCTAGGGCTTCTGCTACTTCGAAAATTTTTAACATAATATTGAAAATGGCTTTGATCACCAATGATCAGAATATACAAGCGTCAACACAAGAAAGTTGTAAGTGACGAATATGCTGGGACATCTTTAGCAAGCAGTTCAGAAAAGGGCTTTGGAGGTTCTTGTACAATAAGATAATTAACAGTTAGTATGGTATGTAGCAAACACTTCCTACCTACCAAGCACTATGCACTTAATACAACAACCCTGGAAAGTAGGTACTGTTATCCACAAACTCTTTTTTTTTTTTTTTTTT